CACCTTTATAAAAGAAGAATTTCACAATGAACCACAGCGGTTAGTCAATTGTTCAAATAAGCGTGTTTCCACCAGAAATTATATAAAACTTGTGTTTCAAATTGTTGTCTGCACCATCCCATCCATTGTTGGAATAATTTTTCTGCCAAATTTTTCTGTCAAATTTTTCAACATAAAGAGATACTTGTTGAGAAGAAATGTGTTCCCTTAGTTCCATGACAAACTGAGAGAATTAAATTCAATGTATATCAGCAACAAAGGAAATAGGCGTGATCCGGATATGGTAAATAATTATTTTTCAAACCCCATAATTTGCCTGTAATGTTTCTGTGTTTCTTGTAGTTATCTTTGCTACCGCAAGAAAAGTGTAAGGGGAACTCCACCAAGAATAAGTATTCTTCAGAATGTCATCTCTGGATTTTCTTTCAGGGGATGTGCAGTCAATAACTCAGGTAATCCTAACATACATTTTTCAGTTTGATTCTGAAAATAGTGGTGTAGAAAGTAAGGTTTTGTCACTATACTTCATCCATCTTTATGTTTCTGGTAACAAACCCAAGTTATTCCAAGAACTGAGCGACTTGACAATAGAAACTCCATTTTGTAAGGTGGGCTAAAGCAAGGAGGCAGATCCTCCATGAGCTACCACTCTTAGTGTGGGGATTTAACTTGCACTAACAGTGTCATTCTGTCACACAGTCTCGCCAGCTGGCAAACCAAGCTAACCAACCCCAAATGAAACGCACTGTTGAACGTATTCATTGATTGATGTCCATAATTTTTAACAACGGAAGGTACTTTCTGATACTAGTTGGGAGAGCCTGTACCCTTAAAGTTGCGCATTAGGACCTCTCACATGTCTGTCGTACTGACTATGTGGTAATTATTCTTGAAACTGTCTTCCACTCTAACCTATTTGGGACTTGGTATGTTTATGATCCTAAGTACTTGGCTTAATAGTTAGCCACACAAAAAAAAATTAAAGACCGTAAAAGCCACTCTAACTCCTGAATTCCACCCCCAGTGTGCCCACCTGGCAATCCATGTCTTTACCTTCCTGCCACCATACCATCTCACACAATGGGCACCCAAACCTCTTTCACACATTTTTTGCCCCTCACACTCATTTTGCATCCTAATCTCTCTCCTGCTCACCCGCAGCTCTACTCCTTATCCATCTACTTCTCAAAGTACCTCCTCAGCTGCCTGGCACTATTGCCCTTTACCCACTTGTCACTTTACCCCATTACTCACTTGCTACTATGCCCACTTACTCACCCATCTACAACCCTACTGTTGCTTCCACTTACCTTCTTACCAATTGGTTTCTCTCAGGAGCTGGCAAAGTGCCTTTGGGGCCTTTAAAACGCTTTGTTTAATGGAATACAGCAGCTAATGGCTTTAAAAGGGGTCGTGTTATGGTCTCTAATGCTGATCCTGTGCCGAGTGGATTCTTAGCCAATTTCCCACATTGCAGACATCCAAAACAGGCCAAATGTGGAAACCTGGCCATAAAAACCTCTGACAGATGAACAGGCAATCTTAATAAGACTAGGTTGGATCTGTTCCATTTGTAATTTGGAAGAATTACTGCAATTTATCATGTGAATATTTCAAGGAAGAAATTATTCCATGCGATAAATCCTAACCTTATATAGCTTAGCCAGTGGCAGGGTTGAAAGTTGTTTATTGCAGATATTTGAGAAGATTCTGATGGGATATGACAAAGTTGATATTTGGGCAATGTTTTAGTTAGCTGGAAAGGGAGAACATGAGGTCACAATCTCAGTTTGAGGAGTGAAGCATTTTACGTCAACAAGACGTGAAACTTCTTCACTCAGACGATTGTGATTCTTCAGAACGTATCTCACAGAGTTGTTGGTGTGTCAGCATTGAGTACATTTCAGGTTGAGAGTGATACATTGTCTCTTAGAGGCAAAATGTAAGACTAAGAAGAGTCACACTGGACTCAATGTTAACTCCGTTTCTCTCTCCACAGATGCTGCCAGACCTGCTGAGTTTCTCCAGTGTCCTCTATGTTTATTTTAAATTTCCAGCATCCACTATATTTTGCCTTTATTAGAGTGTACTGGTGTAATGTGGTTTTGATATGATTGGATTTGGATTTATATCGGAGATGAGCACAATACTGATTGTTGAGGAATAGAGGTTTTATAGCATTAAAACAAGCCCTTTGGCCCATTGTAGCTGCGCTGGTCATTAAAAATCCATCAACTCTAATCCCATGTTTCATCCCTTGTCCCATAGCATAGTATGCAATGGCGTTTCAAGTGCTCATCCAAATAGTTCTTTAGAGTCTTGAGGGTCCCTGCCTTTACCACCCTTTTAGACAGTGAATTCCGGATATCTAAACCCGTCTGGGTGAAAGAATACTTTCTCAAATCCCTCTAAAGTGGGTTTTCCTTACTTTGGTCATCCTGTTGGTCTGAAATCTGGCACCAGTAGTTTTCATGACGTTTCTATGCTGACTCAGATTACTGCATACTGTCTTTTTGCATCACTGTGTGTGTTCATATATAAAATCCATCTTCTCGTTATATTGTCTTATTTGCTTTTTTATTTTCAGACAGTTCCTTCCCCTCCCCAACACCCCACCCTCATAGACCATGTTCTCCAACAACTCCACACCCTGACAGCGCCTGTCCCCACCCTTCCCGACACTCTCAGTCCCTGTTCCCTGCCTGAACGCCCACCCTCGCAGCTTGTTCTATCCCACCTCGTGTACACAAGCTTAAGCTCATACCCGCTGCATCCTCACCACATTCCAGAATCCCACCCTTCCGGTGAACCACACCTACACAGCTCCACACCCTCAGCTCCTGCTCTCCCAATATCCCACCGTGGCTCACCCAGCTCAGAGATCCTGCCCCTCACTGTCTGCCTTCTCATCTCCTGCTCCATCCCAACCTCTATTTTCTATTCCTTTCTGATTGCAGTATGAAACTAAAATGAAAACACATCTGAACCACTCATTCATTGGTGTGTTTTTCATTTTATTACAGAGTGAAGATTTGATAAATTATTGGCAACGCACATTTTCACCGGTGGACAAGTTAACAGCCAATCACATTGTGCTATATTTGTATCTGCTTAGAAATTACCATGAAGATTAAACTCACCAACAATTTTCTCTCCCTAATGAGGGAGCAGAACTATGGTCTTTGGGGACTATAGCAACTTTATTTTAACATTTGTATACAATTGATTCTGATGTGCATTTGTTTGATGCTTTCTTTGCCAGGTTCAATTATAAAGCAATAAAGACATTATGTTAAGGATAGTCGGTGCAATGTTTCCATTTTATCAAAGAGGTACTCAGTGAATTATGCCACCTATTAAGGTAATCTTGAGCCTCAGAAAATCACAAAATCTCACATTTTGCCTGGTTTTAAATATTTCAAGAACATTTCCTTCTTGTGCACTACCTGAAAAAAATATTTTGAGACATTTATTATCTCAAGTTAATTTACCTGCTAATCCCTTGGCCTAGCAGTCATAGGCACTAAACATGACAGAAGAAATCAGATTGTTTGTGGTAATATCGCACTGGGGTAGTGTACTGGAAAACAAAACTCACTATTGCTGGAGATGTTACAAAGCATATACGTTTTATAAAAATACATAAAATTCTCTAGAAAGCACAGACCACTTATTGTATTTAAGAAGAATTACTATTTATTACAAACAAACAGATTCTAGTTAAAGTTACAAAATTATGAACAACACTATGAACTACCAGTTAAAACCCTAACCACCTCATAAACTTCCCCGAACATGCATTTAGATATCCACAATGAGACATATTAATGTTGGTGTTATGCATGCAGAGTAGTTCAATGGTCTCTGTTCATATGGTTTACTAAAATAATCTTTTAGTCTTGCCAGGACTGGCTGCTTATCAATCTCTTTCTTTCCTCAAGTATTTTGCATCTCGTTGCAGGAGGCACAGAGCAACCAACTCACAAATTATAAAGTCTCAGTCTTGTTGGTTAAAAGCAACAGCTTACAGCAACTGATGACGGGAATAAACTGACATTTGAGGCTACAGGGATTTTAGTAAGGAGAAGAGGACAGATCTTTCTTTTCAGGAAGCGTGATGACTTCTGAGCTGAGATGACTGACCTCCAACAACCACAATCATCTTCCTATGTGTCAGGTATCAGTCTAACCAATGGACAGTTTTCCCTGATACCCATTGATTCCAGTATTGCTTGGGCTTCTTGATGCCATACATGTGGCCTTGATGTCACAAGCTGTCACTCTCATCTCACCTCTGCAATTCAGTTTTTTTGTCCATGTTTGAACCAAGGCTGTAATGAGGTCAGGAGCTGAGCGGCCCTGGCGGAACCCAAACTGGGCGTCACTGAGCAGGGTATTTCTGAGCAGGTGCTGCTCGATAGCACTGTTGACGACACCTTCCATCACTTTACTGATGATCGAGGGTAGACTGATGGGGCGGTAATTGGCCAGGTTGGATTTGTCCTGCTTCTTATGTACTGGACATACCTGGGCAATTTTCCACATTGTTAGTTTTATACCAGTGTTGTAGCCATACTGGAACAGCTTGGCTAGGGGAGCGGCAAGTTCTGGGGCACAAGTCTTCAGTACGATTGCCGGAATGTTGTCAGGGCAGTATCCAGTGTCTCCATCTGTTTCTTCATATCACATGAAGTAAATGGAATTGACTGAAGACTGGTATCTGTGATGCTGGGGATCACTGGAGGAGCCGAGATGGATCATCCACTTGGCACTTCTGCCTGAGGATTTTTGGGAATGCTTCAGCTTTATCTTTTGCACTGATGTGTGGGATCATTGAGGATGGGGATATTTGTGGAGCTTCCTCCTCCAGTGAGTTGTCTAATTGTCCACCACAATTCATGACTGGATGTGGCAGGTCTGCAGAGCTCAAATCTAATCTGTTAGTTGTGGGATTGTTTAGTTCTGTCAATCAGTTATGCTGAGCGATCCCAGAAAAATAGAGAAAAATGAAAAGATATATTCTTTACAATGATGAAGATGGAGCTTAAATTCCCCAATCGAATTAGGTTTCTGTGGATGGTTATACCCCTCTGAGTACAGATTTGCTTTTTTTATTTAACTGATCCCCAGCCTCTGCAGCTCAGTCCTCTGAACGTTTACTTGTACAATTTTAAAACTGTCAAATTAAATCTGAGGTGTAGCCTTTTAAGAGTTGGTAATGTCTTGGATTATTAACCCATTCACTGAGGCAAGCTCAACTCTATGAGCTGTGTTTTTACCCTCATTGTAACAGCACCTCGCAGGTAGACAGGGTGGTGAAGCAGAAGTTTGGTACAATTGCCTTCATTAGTCAGAACATTGAGTATAGGAATTGGGAAGCCATGCTGCAGCTTTACAGGATGTTGGCGAAGCTACTTTTAGAATACTACGTTCAATTCTGATTGCCCTTCTATAGGAAGGATGTTGTTAAACTTGAGAAGAGGTAGAAAAGATTTGTAAAGATGTTGCCTGGAGCTTGAGTTATAGAGAGAGGTTGAATAGGCTAGGTCTTTTCTCCCTGGATCTCTGGAGCTGGGGAGCGACCTTGTAGAGGTTTATAAAATCGTGAGGGGCATTGATAAGGTGAATAGCCAAGGTTTTTTTCTGGGGTGGGGTATTCCAAAACTGGAGGGCATTGTTTTAAGGGAAAGGGGAAAGAGTTAAAAAGGATGTGCCATTACACACCAACTATTGTTAGTCATTAACAGTCCCCATTAACAACTATTCACCCTCCCAACCAGATCATTATCAACTCCTCTGCCTGTCCAACTGTCCTTCTCTGTCTTTAGGCTCTATCCAACGTTTACTCCCTACCCCAACCCCCTCCCTATTTTCTGCATATAAACCGATGTTTTCCCAGCCACCATCAGTTCTGAGGAAGGGTCACGGGACCCAAAACGTTAACTCTGATTTTCTTTTTCTTCACAGATGCTGCCAGACCTGCTGAGCTTTTCCAATAATCTCAGGGTCATCCAGCCGGATCTGAAGAATTACCTAGGAGGCGCTATTGTTCAGGAGGGCACGGGAAAAGCTGGAGGGAGACCCATTTCCAAGCCAAAGTAAAAGTGAAGGGAACATTCTCCAAAACAAATACCACCAGTGGAGACCACAAGGGCTATACTTGTGAAGCTCATGTGGAGTTATTTGCTGCTAAATCAAATGAACAGAATCACATTTTCACTGAAAACACTTCCAGCAGATTAAGTGTTAAATTGCTCCAAGATGAGAAACAGGATGTAGGCCCAGATTGTACCAGAGTTAAAAATTTAATCACAATCCATTATTTCAGGAAAATCACATTTGCAACAATGACTTGTCTTGAACTGTTCCATTCATGGATCATACAGGTGGATAGTGAAGTGTTAAAACGAAATGAAAGCAGTTTAGAGATAGTAAGAACTGCTGATGCTGGAGTCAGAGATAACACAGTGTGGAGCTGGAGGAACACGGCAGGCCAGGCAGCATCAGACGAGCAGGTAAGTTGATGCCTTAGACCGGGACCTCTTTTCAGAAAAGCAGCTCAGTTTGGTAGTCTGAAAACTGTCTATAATCAGAGCAGTTCTGCTGAGCAGCCAGGAGGTGGAGCCAACGGGAGCTGCAGAATCTCCCTTACCCTGTGGGTGATAAACTGGTTATAAATTGCAATGTGGAATCCCAAAAATTTAGGTTCCTAGCTTTTACTGTTAGGAAATGTCCAAAGGAACCCTTAGATAACACATAATTAAGATTTAAAATTGTCATTAATTTTGGAAATCAATATTATTCTGTATGTTGGACATTAAAAATAATGAGTTTTATTTTTTCTTGTTCTTTCATGGGGTTTAGGGACTTTAGCAAGGCCAACATTTGTTGCCCCGCATTAATGTGCCTTAATCTGAATGGCCAGACTGGGTAAGGATGTCAGATTACTTTCCCAAAAAGAGATTTAAAAAAAAAATGATGACAGTTTCATGGTCACCAATATTGAGACCAGCTTTACACTATGGATTTGTATCAACCACCCTGCCTCAAAAAAAGCCACAGCATATAAATACAGTCCAAGTATAAATATTTGAACGTGTGGATTTTGTTTTCATATCTGTCACCCTGTAGTGAAATGTTCCAAAAGTCCTTGTGCTGTGGAAGGGTTGCGAAAATGTGCTGTGGTAAATGTGAAGTTTTGAATTTCATTTGCTAGACTCACAATTTGCACTTTTTAAAAATGGCTGTTTCACACCAAAAGTCATAGGAACAGAACTGCACCCATTTGGCCCATCCATGGCTGATCTGATAATCCACAAACTCATTTTCTGTCATTTCCCAAAAATGTTTGATTCCTATACTGATTAAACATCTGTCCACCTCCGTCTCGAATATACGTAATGATCCAACCTGAAGAGCTGTGAAAAATATCCATAGGTTCCCTAAACCTTGAGAGAAGAAATTCCTCCTCATCTATGTCTTAAATGTGCTACCCCTTACTGTGAGATTATTCCCCCTGATCCTCGACACCCACTCAAGGGGAAACAATATCTCAACATGTATCCTGTTAAGCCTCCTAAGAACCTTATATGTTTCAATAAGGTTGCCTGTCATAATTCTAATCAGAAATTAACCATGAGGTGATGTTGCCAGCCAATTATAATGTTGAGATAAATTGCCTATCAAAACTGAGATACTTAAGTGATGGGACAGATTTGCCATCATTTGAGCAGAGGCATCAAGTACCTTGTGAGTAACAGCATGGTGATTTGTGTGTACTGTGAGGCTGCTGGCCCTCTAAGGTCCTGTCTACTCCAATCTTCAGATTTCTGATCCTGGTTTGAAAACCAGGCTCTGACATTTGCCTGCCTCATGGTAATAAATAAAGTAGATGTGGAGGGGCCACAATTCAACTTTATGATTTTGGGTATGCATTTCCCACCATGCTTTGCCTGTGAAACAGTTGTAATTATACTGTTCTGGAACACCTCTCCATTTTTGTTGTTGTTTTGATGTTTTTTTTAAAAGGGAACAGATTAATATCAGTTGCATTTAATGCACCCTAGCCTATATAAATATGGAGATCCTAGATTGTGAGATTTATTATAGCCCTTTCCTTGGCAACAGGTACCAATGCAAAGACTGTGGTGTACAAATTTGCACTGGATTGCAAAATGAGTGCTCCACCCTTTTTTAGGTTGTCTTTTAAAGCATATTTAATGAAATCTGATTGAACATATAATGGGGACAGTGACACTTCAGTGCTCCAGGATGCTGCAATTGAAGTTATTATTCAGGACA